AGATTTTTGTCATTCAAACACATTTTTCGACATGTTATCGGACCGGAATCCGGCTCGAATGATATAGACGTGATGGGCCCTGTCGAGATCTATCATTTGGTACCAAAACCGTCTAAGTATCTCGTTTTAGAGACAAGTTATCAGCCGGCCCACCAACTGCCGGTCTTCTTGCAACTATGGAAAATAGCTTTGACCCCTATTGAATTTTAAAATTTATTCTAGATCCGCTAAAGTTGGTAGAAAACAGTCAAATCGTAAAATACAAAAACGTATTTTTCAGTTGATTTTGGCATTTTCAGAAGTCTGGAGCTCGGCTTTCAGGTTTTCGATCATTTTGGAAATTTGGGAGGGTGTAAAACAGACCTAGATTGAAAACTTGGAATTCACAGAATTTTTAGAAAATTCCTAGTTTTTCAGATATTGGCCAATTTCTGAAAGACCGCTTGTAACATGCATTAATTAAACAAAAAAAAAAGAAAAACCTTTAATTTTCAGTTCTATCCAATCTGTAATTTTTTGGAAGCTAGTGCTAATAGGTAGCATTTTTTTCCTGCTAGACTAGAAATCTTTTCACTCTAGGTGTAGTAGAAAAGAGAGATAATGATAGGTGGGGGGAGGGGAGAGCACTAATTAGAGGGTGTTGCCAAGGTGATTTTGAGAGGGAAGGAAGTTTTGGGTCGGTTTTAGTTAACTTTATAGAATTGGCGAGCAATTTTGATGGAACTAGAATCAATTTTTATGAATTTCAAGCTGTTTTCCGTATATTTTCAGAGTTTTTTTTTGTCGATTTTTGTTCTTTGCTGCTATATGGATCCACATATTTTTTTGCACATTTTGATGCCTAAAAATTCAAAAAAAAAACTCACTCTGTGGAATCGTTGGAGCTTGTGGATAGATTCCTCCGCTTCCAATCCCCCCATTCCTCGGTGGCTCTGAATATGGTTCTGGAGGAATATCAGCAGGTCTTGGAGGAATCCTCGGCGGAGACAGCGGTTGTCCCGGTGCCAGACTTTCAGATAAACTCAGTTTCGACATCAAATCCGGGTACCGTATCTCAGAAACCCCATAGCTCCTAGAGGTGTAATCCAGAATAGCCTGATCCAGGCCGTCGGATGGTGAGGTTCTGGAGCTCAGCGGTTGCTCATCCTTCGTATACGTTGGATATTGAGCCTTCCATAGCTTAAATCCACCATCCATAAACATCGGACGGTCTCTGAGACGGTCCACTGAGTTGTATTGGGTTAGTGCTTTGAAGAGAAACGACATTTTGGTTTTGGGAGCTGGTGAGTTGTTGAGCAGTTCTGGAGACTCATCATCCATTAGAACGACATAGTCGGAGCCAGAGACGCGGGGCAGCAGGGCTCGTTGGTTGACAGGAAGGTTGTTTTTGAGGCTTTGGAATGTTAATCTGGAAGAATGAAAAATTGAAGGTTTCGGAAAAATATAAGCCTACCCAAATCGTCGACTTTGAGCTCAATTATCTCGGCTCCTGTTAGAAATATCAAAAATCTGTCAACTGGTAAAATATCTATCATAACATCACCAATATTTTATCAGTTCACAGATTTTTGATATCTTTTGAAGGAACCGAGATAATTGAGCTCAAAATTGACGGTTTTGATTCTATTAGAACAAATTCGGTTTTTTTGCTGGAAATCGTCATCAAACAGTCAAATTTGGCTTTTGAGTCTAAGAGACAAATTTTTAATTCTTCAGAAATTCCAGAAACTCAAAAACTCAGAAATTCAGAAATTCGGAAAATCAGAAATTCTAGAAAACCAAAACTTCGAAAATTCAGAAATTTAAAAAATTCAGTAATCCAAAATTCCAAAATTTCTAAAAACAAGATTTAAAGATTCAAAAAATTAAAAATGTTTTAAATTCTATTCAGAAATTCTGAAAATTCACAAGTTCCAAAATTTCAGAAATTCTAAATTTCTAACAAATTCCAGAAGTTTCCGAAAATTGCAAAAATTCAATAAATTCAAAAATTCAAAAATTCAGAAACTCAGAATTTGAAAAATTGCAAAATTCTAAATTCCAAAAAAATTCCAGAAACTTCCGAAAATTCGGAAATTCAGAAATTCAGATATTCAGAAATTCCAGAATTTCGAAAATTCAGAAAATTATAAATTCAGAAATTGTAGGAGCGATTCCTTATGATATTCTGATCCCTCCCACTTGACCTACAAGACTCTAGTCGGTCCGTCTGGTCATTTTACTTTTTTATTTGTACAGGTCCCATTTCTTGCCAAATTATCTATCGATTTCCCCCCATGCATTGCAAATAAATACATTATTATCAAAAACTTCAAATTTCAAAAATTCACTAATTCGAAAATTTTGAAAATTTAGAAATTCAGTAATTCAGAAACACAGAAGCCCGAGAAAATCAAAAGTCAGAAAATTGGAAAATTCAGAAATTCAGAAAATTAGAAATGAAATTCGAAAACTCAGAAATTCCAGAAAATTCAAAAATTCGAAAATTTGGAAAATTCAGAAATTCAGTGATTCAGAAACACAGAAGCCCGAGAAAATCAAAATCTGAAAATTGGAAAATTCAAAAATTCAGAAATTCAGAAAATAAGAAATGAAATTCGAAAACTCAGAAATTCCAGAAATTTAAAAAAATTTCAAAATTTTAAAAATTCAGAAATTCAAAAAATTCAAAAACTCCAAATTTCAAAAATTCCCTCAAATTCAGAAATTCAGCAATTCAGAAGTTTGAGAAATCAAAAACTCAGAAAATTCCAGAAATTCAGAAATTCCAGGAATTAAGAATTTTTAAAAGTTAATCCAGAAATTCCAGAATTTTCCAAGAATTCGGAAATTCGAAAATTTAAGAATTCGGAAATTTCAAAATATCAAAAAATCAAGACATTCCAGAAAATTCGAAAATTTAGAAATTCCAAAATTTACCGAACTTCAAAAATTACAAAAATTCCAGGAATTAAGAATTTTTAAAAGTTAGAGAAATTCCAGAATTTTCCAAGAATTGGGAAATTACAAAAATTAAAAAATTTCTAAAAAAAAAACTCCAGAAATTCCAAAAATTCAAAGATTTATATTGAAAGCTTTACATATTCAGAAATTCAGAAATTCAGAAAATTCCAGAAATTAAGAAATTCGAAAACTCAGAAATTCCATAAAATCAAAATTTTGAAAATTCTAGAAAACTTCGAAATTCCAGAAATTTGGATGATCCCAAACTGAAAAAATTCCAGAAATTCAGAATTTTCCCTTTACAGTTTTTTGGATTTTTTAAATATTTTCCGTTAATAAAAACAAAAACTCACGAGCTATCAATGAGATCATATGGCACCTGAATCACCGTAATCATTTCACTTCGATTATAGAAAATCGCATCCGACTGATTTTGCCGCAAATCGAAAATCAACGCGCTCTTCTTCGGCTCCTCGTTCTCCACCTTCCTAATTAACTCTCTGGGCGTAATTAGGGCTCTAATTGCTCGCATAGCGCCTTGCGACGAAGAACTTGAAGAGGACACCCGTTTTTCAGCCTCCTGCTTCACAGCACGATCCTGTTTGTCTCTCCGAACTTGCGCGGCTTCGTATTTCTGTGAAATTTTAGAATTTTAGAACTTTTTTCAAATTTAAACTACCATTTTCAACATTGTCTGCAGCTTTGATGCTTCCTCTACCACATTTTCGTATGTTGAGCGGAAGAGAGCAGCGTTGGCTTTCTGTGAACAAAATTTTTGAATCTTTAAACTTTAAGGTTTGAAACCAATTCTTTTAAAAAACTTACATCTTTAATCCATTTTTCAAACTTCGGATTTTTCGTCATCAACCCAGCCAGCTCACCAGAGAGCAAATATAGCCGATATTGCTCTTCTATATCTCCTCTAGCTTTTTTCGCGCCGTCTTGCATGTTTTTACACGAATTGAACACTCTGAAAATTGCAATTTTTAGCTTAAAACTTATTTTTTTGAAAAAACTGACGCATCCATCGATTTCTGCTCATACAGCCGAACTTGCTGTTCGTTTAGAGAGGCATTCTTCAATAGATGCTCCATACTCGGATAAGTGAGTCCGAACGAGTCCATTTTTCATCTGGAAACGACTTAAAATGGCTGAAAAGCTCCAGGTAGTCGGCTGAAAAGCTGCGCGTCAAATCTGATGCATTGACGCAAAACTGCAGAATTTTGGAGGAACGGGTTTTCTTTTTTCGATTTGGAGATGGAAAATAAGAAGAAGAAGCCCATGAGTCAGTTCGTGTTGTAATCGTTATTGATTTTTATATTTTGCGAAATAAAGTCATGCATTATGAAACTTGTCTTTATTGTAATTACATAACAATCTATATTCGAATCGGGGGAGAGAGATAAGTGCGAATTCACATGTAGAAAGGGCTTTTTCTGCTTCGATTTGCAGGGAAAATGTCGTAAATTTTTGTGATTTTTTGCAAAAATCACAAAAAACCGAAAAATTTCCCATAAATTCTCCTTACAGTAATTTAAAGGAGCATACTTCGACGATCATGGGCTTCGAAGCGAAAAGACGTTTTCGCTGCAAATCGAAGCCCCAAAAAACACGAAAAAATGCGAAAATTGAAAGAGGTCAGTGATGAAAAAATGCCAAAAAATTATCCGAAAAAAGGCTAAAAATCAATTAAACGATATGGATAGATCCACGAGTGTGATGAGAAGTGTTGACACTGGATCTGCTGACCCGCCGATTCTGACATCTTGGGCGCTGCCGAACGTAACGACGAGGCGAGCTGGGCACCGGAATGGACCGCCTGAAATACAAAACATTTTGGTTTTTTGAATTATTTATTATTATTTTACCTGCTTGGATGACATTCTTTATAGTACTCCTCGAGCAAATCGTCTTCGTAGGATGGTGGTGGAGACGTGCCGCATCTAAAGAGGGAAAATTTCAGGTTTTTTGGGGAAAAAATGATATTACGGGAATTCTACTGAATTATTCTTCGATTGATAAGCTGGTGGAGAGAATTCCGTTCTCGCTTTTGCACTTGCCGCCCGTTTTCTCATTGTTCGAGCTCCTGAAAAAAGCTCAATTTTCAGCTGAAAATTTCAGCAAAAAAAATACTTTGTATTGTTTTAAAATTCTTCTCTCTCAACCGATTGGTAACTCTCTGGAGGACCCGCCGAGACCTTCGCATTTCCACCACTTTGTCCAGCTCCCACTGTTTGCATTTATTTATTCCGAGCAGCATCGCCGCTACTAATCCAATACAAAATATAATAGTCGGTAGCACTATTGAGGTCATAACTTCACTGGCAGGAATTGTGAATTGTGCAGTTGGGGAAGACATTTTCGGCGTTTTTTGAGAAGAAAAATGGCTAAAAGTCTAAGGAAATGCTAGGAAGTTGGGGTGCAAATTAGTGCACGATGTGCGTTTTGGCACCCAGATGTTAGTCGGTTGGCGAGAGGAGCCCAGGGGCAGAAGCCGTGCTTACTGAAGAGACGGCGACATCATATCGATTTTCTGGTTTTGAGCTCAAAAAACGGATTTCCATGCATTTTTTTCAAAATTTCAACCGAAAATCGTATTTTTTGCCTAAAATTTTTCAAATATTTCAATTTCCCTCTTAAACATTCCCGCGGTCTCGCTTGATTACTCTTGTTTTCTGATTAACTCCAGCACGCTATCTTGTGTCGATTTACGGGGTTTGTTTAAAGGCGCACGACGTTTTGCGTCCTTGTCGCAGCGAGACCCGCCAGTGCATTTCGCTGCCGCTGGGAGATTTTCCTCTATTTTTTCGCTGGCCTAAACTTTTTTCGACGTTTTTCAGCCAATTTTTCGATTTTTTTTCCTGGATTTTCTCATTAAAAAGTCCTGGAGCGTCATTTTTCGAAGGCTTCCATTCTGGAAATTGATTTGACTCGCAAATTTAGTAGAAATTTTAGTAGAAACAGGTCCCCCGAAATTATTATTTTCTAATTTTGTGATTTTTTTCCAAATTAGCTGAAAAATACTGTCCCGGTCCTAATTTTTTAAAACTTTTTTTTCTCTCGTTCCTCTCTCTTCTCCCTCCTAAAACCTTCTAATTCTAATTCTTTTTTAGGGTAACATGGGACGCCGTATCCGTATCCAGCGTAAGGGAGCTGGTGGTATCTTCAAGAGCCACAACAAGCACCGTAAGGGAGCCTCCAAGCTTCGCCCACTCGACTATGCCGAGCGTCACGGCTACATCAAGGGACTCGTGAAGGACATCATCCACGACCCAGGAAGAGGAGCTCCACTCGCCGTCATCGCTTTCCGCGACCCATACAAGTACAAGACTGTCAAGACCACCGTTGTTGCTGCCGAAGGCATGCACACCGGACAGTTCATCCACTGCGGAGTTAAGGGTGAGTATTCTCAATCTTGATTATATAAAAATTTAATGAACATTTTGAAACTCGTAAATACGGTCCTCGTTTTCTCTGCCTGATTCATTATCGCTTCAAGCTTGAAATAGAGGACAATAAGAACGTTTGCCTCTTACCCCCGGTGTGATAATATGTCAGAATCGGTCATTGTGTGCAAGTACAAATTCTTGTAAACTTTTGAACCTAAATTACTTTCCTGGACTTGTTTTCATATATTTGTTTTTCAGCCCAAGTCCAGATCGGAAACATCGTTCCAGTCGGAACCCTTCCAGAAGGAACCACCATCTGCAACGTTGAGAACAAGACTGGTGACCGTGGAGTTATCGCCCGTGCTTCCGGTAAGTGCCAACGATTTATTTTTCATATAAATTTGGTTTTTTTATAGGAAACTACGCCACCGTCATCGCCCACAACCCAGATACCAAGAAGACCCGTATCCGTCTTCCATCTGGAGCCAAGAAGGTCATCCAATCCGCCAACAGAGCCATGATCGGACTCGTCGCCGGAGGAGGACGTACTGACAAGCCACTTCTTAAGGCCGGAAGATCATACCACAAGTACAAGGCCAAGAGAAACAGCTGGCCACGCGTCAGAGGAGTTGCCATGAATCCAGTTGAACATCCACACGGAGGAGGTAACCATCAACATATTGGACATCCATCTACCGTCAGAAGAGACGCCAGTGCCGGAAAGAAGGTCGGACTTATCGCCGCCCGTCGTACCGGAAGAATTCGTGGAGGAAAGCCAGTCAAGTTCACCAAGGAAGAGACTGTCTAAATGTATTGTTATTTGTTGGAATACAAAATACATTTTTGTTATTATTTGTTTTGCTCGCTTTTTTGGATGCACAGAAACTTCAGATATTACGAAAAATTTATTAAGTTGACAAAAAATTCTCAAAACAAGCCTGGTAAAAACCTGTATTTAACTTTGGCACAGTATTGCGCCCAATACTGTCCGTACTTGATGAGACATCGATTCTCATCAGTGAAAGCTCTAGCTATCAAAAATAAAGTGACTAATAAGGCAGGAAAGTGAGAAAGGGTAGATGGGAAACCTTGGAAAGCGGAGAATGCAAGAAAAGAAACAGCTTCAGATGTATAGTTGGGATGTCGACAAACTCCCCAGTGACCGCTGCCTGTAACTATTAAGCTTGTTTTTGTACATTAATTTTTGGCTTACCCAACAATAGGTTAGCATTTGGATCTCCAGAATCAGTTCTATACTTGGCGCTGATGAAAAACGCATCCACACCGCCCATCTTCAAGTCTCCTTTGGATTTTCGAAATTCATATTTCTGTCGGTCACATTTCGCCGTAAAAATGATAGAAACCACTGCAGCCAAACAAAACAATCCATTTGAAATCAGACCAACTGATCGATTCGTCGCAGCTAGTACCGTAATCGGTGACGTGTAAATGATGGGTCCCAACACGAAATCCGCCCAAAGACGATAGAATCCACAGTCGCATCGTTTAGAGTCAAGGGAGTTCAAATAGAGGTCTTCGTTCCAGTGAAATTGGAAAATGTAGAGCAGTTGGACGGAAGACGCACAGATTAGGCTGGCTGCAAATTATGGGCATGTGCCTTTAATACCGTACCTCGCAGTTAATTTATTTTTGCATATTTCACTCAACTTTTCGCCATTTTTTGTCAATATTCGTCTGAATTTCATTAATTTTGATTGAATTTCCGATGAAAAAAAAACGAAAAATTGCCAAAAATGGGAAAAAAATCAGCTTATTTTGATCAACGGTATTTGTGCATGCGCCTTAATACCGTACCTCGCAGTTAGCCTGAACTTTGCCTAATTTCCTTAATTTTCCGTACGTTTTTTGTCAATTTTCGTCTGGTTAAAGTAAAATTGAAAAAAAAAACGAGAGGGAAATTGAGGGAAATAAGAAAAAATTGAATGATTTCGAGATACGGTATTAAAGGCGCATGCACTTATTCAAAAAACTTTTTTTCGTTGCTAGACCGACGATGCGCCTTTAAACTGTATTTTCGGCAGCAATGCCTCCAGACTAGAGTGTTAGCAGCTTCAGAAAAGTCGCTTTATATATTTTAGCAATGGAGCGCACTTGCAAAACAATACAATATGAAACTCACTCGAAATTTTCCCATAAGTGATTTTATGAAAAAACAGTGCGGAAATGATGAAAAGTGGCCATATGACGAATGTGAATCTCGTTCGAATGAAACTTTTCAAATCGATATCCAAAACTTTTGGATGGTTTTCGATGCCAAACCAGAATTCACTGATCGTGGTGACTGAAAAAATATGTGATTTGATTAGAAACCAGAAAATCGTTAAATATTAAAAAAAAACTGTTGATCTCAAAAATCGTAAACTTTAAGCTCAATTATCTCGGTTCTTTCGAAAGCTATCAAAAAGTTTTTAACTGATAAAGTATTGGTGATATTATGATAAACATTTTATCAGTTAACAATTTTTTGACAACTTTCACAGGAATCGAGATAATTGAGCCTGAAATTGACGGTTTGGGTCCTCAAACACCGTCAACTTTGAGCTCAATTATCTGGCTTCCTTCGAAAGATATCGAAAATTTGTCAACTGATAAAATTTAGGTGATATTATGACAAAAATTTCATCAATTGGCAGATTTTCGATATCTTAAATGGGAACCGAGATAATTGAGCTCAAAATTGACAGTGGGCAGCAAATACAGTAAATTTGAAAAAGTTGAAAATTATTGTTATTAGGCTGGGCAATCATCAATCTGGAGTTCTTCTTTTTAAAAATTCGATTAAAGATGTAAATTTTTCATCAGGATTACTGTAGTTCCTTTCCTTCAAGACTCGAATTCTGCAACTCACCACTGTTCCCTGTCCCAAAGTGATACGAAACAATAAGCGCCGCCCATATTGTGACTGCGAAGATTGCAAAAATTAGAATAATCGAATTGAAATGTATATAAATCAAATCTCCTCGATAAATGCCTGCACTGGCACCCAGCACATACAGTAGGCATGTCAGAATGCACGAGAAGAAACTGTTGATTTCTCTCATTTGATCCCCTGAAATTTGGTTGTTTTGAGCTCAATCATCTCGGCTCCTGGGAGAGATATCGAAAATTTGTCAACTGATAAATTGTTTATCATATTATGAGAAATATTTTATCAGTTGACATATTTTTCATAGCTTTTGAAGGAACCGAGATAATTGAGTCTAAAGTGCACGAATAATGTGCGGGTGCTCTCATAGAAATCTATCCTATACTTTGAGCTCAATTATCTCGGTTTATTTAAAAGCTATCAAAAAGTTTTTAACTGATAAAGTAATGGTGATATTATGTTAAATATTTTATCAGTTGTCAAATTTTTGATAGCTTTTGAAGGAACCGAGATAAGTGAGTCTGAAGTGCACGTATAAGGTGGAGGGGGGGGTGGTTCAGTAGAAACCCACCTTGTACTTTGGGCTCACTTATCTCGGCCTCTTCACGAGCTATCAAAAAATTTTCAACAGATAAAGTATTGGTGATATTATGATAAATATTTTATCAGTTGACAGATTTTAGATATCTCTCACAGGAATCAAGATAATTGAGCACAAAGTTGACGGGCTTAAGAGAGATGTGGGGGGGGGGGAGTCTATGAAAGGAAATATTCTGCGTTCAATTTTCCAAAAGTGGATTCTCAAAAAAAAAATACTTCAGAATTTTAAGAAATCGCAATATTCAGTCATAAAAAACTCACCAGCCGAGCTCATTACCAGCGCCTGGTCGTGTGGTAGAACCCAATAGAAAATCAGCTGAATCGCACAATGAACAATACTAAACTTCCATGCTACCGTATCCCAAACGGGCGGTATACACTGAAAAACAAACGGGAAACGGAAGAACAACGCGGTGATGGTCTGCAAAATATTTTTTGATATTTATTTTTTGAATTTCGCGGGGTCCGCAAGACTTGTTTACCGGCACAAATAATCCGGTATGCATGGAGATAGAATAGAAGATGAAGAACGTGGCAGGGGGTACAAAAAGTAGCAGAGCTAGCACAACTTGAGCCGACACTTTTTGTTGTTTCTGGAAGAGGAAAAAAATTCGGCCATGAGAAACTCGGCCATGAGAAAACTAGGCCATATTCTGCCTACCTGAAGGGTCTCCTGGAGCTGTTGAATATCCTTCTGTGAGATACTGCTCCGACGTGTCAAACTGCTAGTAGATCCTCCTAAGCTAGACCGTCGTATTCGGTTCAGTTCCTTCATGGTGGCCTAGAAAAGTTTCTAGGTCATGTTTTGGGAAAATAGTGGAATACCGTAGACTGTTAAGTTTGAGCTCAACTCGGCTCCTATAAGAGATATCCAAAATGTTTCAACTGGTTAAATGTTTTTAATGTTATGATGAACAATTTATTAGTTGACAACTTTTTCATACCTTTGACAAGAACCGAGATAAATTGGCTCGAAGTTAACGAGTTTGAGCTCAACTATCTCGGCTCCTATGAGAGATATCAAAAATATGTCAACTGATAAATTGTTTGTCATAATATCAGCAATATTCTATCAGTTGACACGTTTTGTTATCTCTTATAGGAGCCGAGATATATAAGATCAAAGTTAACGAGGCCCACCACAGAGCAACTTTTCAAATTTTAAAGCGTTTAAGCGGAAGTGAGCAAGTTTAAAACTCAAAAGGAAAGAAAGGAAAAAGTGGGTTTAGAAATAAAAAATAGATGTTTTTTTCCCACGAGTCCTCTTTTTTTGTGCGTCCAGTAGTAGCCACCAGCCATCAATTGGGATTGGATTGACTAGGGATAAAAAGAGAATAGATTTAGAGAAAAAAAAATTGGGACCGGGAAATGCAAACAAATAACTCAAATGATCTCTCTAGAGAGAGAATGATAATGGGGAGGATGAGTTGTATATTATATTAATTGCTTTATTTTGTGCTGAATTATTCAAAAGAAAAACCAAAAAAAAAAGTTCCGAAAGTTTTTTCTTCAAAGTCTTTACATTTTTTATACCTTAATTTTTTGAAAAACCTGAAAAATTTCCATTCAAATGCTCTAAAAACCAAACTTCTAGCACAATTTTGAGCCGAGTTATAGCGATTTATAATTATAGAGCTCTCTCGTTTCTCTGCGTCTCTCAAACACCATAACTCGGCTCAAAATTGTCGTACAGAGCTGATTTTTGGCTCTTTTAATAGAGATTCTTCAGATTTTTAGAACAAAGTAAAAATAGAAATTTTGAGAATTTTTCAACAAAAACATTTTCTGAAATTTTTTCTCTTCAAAGCATACAAAGTTGTGTTGCTTTGCTTTTTCTGAAAATCTGAGAAATCCCCATTCAAATGCTTTGAAAACCACACTTCTAGCACAATTTTGAGCCGAGTTATAGCGATTTAAAATTTTCGGGAGACGCAGAGAAACGAGAGCTTTCTCGTTTCTCTGTCTCTCAAAAACGTTGACCCGCCATAACTCGGCTCAAAATGCGGGTAGAAAACTGATTTTTGGCTCATTTTGATTGAAAAATTTCAGAAGTTCTTTTGATAGTCCTAATTTTTGGTATTCTCTCTTTTTTAATCTTCATGATTTTATTTTAGTTTTGCTACGTGGCAAAAAACTGAAAAATCAGTCAACCAAATGCTAACTGACCACATAGGAGCACAAGGAAACAAAAAAAAAAATCAAATTTTCTTTTTGAAAAAAAAGTGTAAAACAGAGATTTTGCATTTTCGATGCTCCTGGAGAAGAGATAGAGCTAGAGTCTCACACACGATCAAAACATGTGTGTGCTTTTGGGAAAAAGAAGAAGAAGAAGAAGATTTTTCAAGTTGACTGAGACTCTTCTTCTTCTTCTTTTCACAAAAATTTAGTTGGCAAAAAGAAGAATAAGAAGAAAATGAGGAGCATGATGATGATGATGACAGAGAGAGAAAAGAGTCTCACATTACTACTAATCATTACTGCCGAGATGAGGAATTCCGAAGGGATACACAAAAACGTAGACGATGCGGAGAGTGATTTAAAGATCAACTCGGACACTACTAGTCTTTGGACCGAACAGCTGTTTTGTTTGTCTTGGCCTTTTTTAGCTGGCTGTCTTTGGAAGATTACCGTAACACCTGTAATAGAAGGGCACCTTAACTTTGAGCCAATTTATCTAGGTTCCTGTTGAAGATATTTATAAGAAACTTGCCGACTGATAAATTGTGTTATCTTACAATCAGAATTGTTTTATTACTTGACATATTTTTGATATCTTGCATAGGAATTGAGATAATTGAGCTGATACCGTAAACACTCTGGTAGAATGCTCTCAAAATGTTAACTTCAAGCCCATATATCTCGGTTCCTGTGAGAGATACAAAAAATTTGTCTACTGATAAAATGATTGTGATATTGTGATGAATAATTTATCAGTTGACTACTTTTTGATATCTCTTAAAAGAACCGAGACAAGTAAGCTCCGAGTGGACATACATGGTGGGCTACGTATAAGTGATCCTAGCCTTGTCGTTTAGCTCAATTATCTCGATTTCTATCAAAGTTATCAAAAAATTGTCAATTGATAAAAGGTTTATTGTAAAATTTCCAACATTTTGTCGGTTGGCAAATTTTGATATCATTTGCAGGAATTGAGATAATTGAGCTCAAAGATCAATTACAGGTCGAGGGTCCTATAGAGCAAATACGGTGTTCTGTGGTTTAGCTCGAAGTTTCTGAAAAAATCATTTTGTGAGGAAGAGGATCAACAAGGATTTCAATTCATGACGACAAAATTTTCATTAACATTTAAAAAACTATTTTGAAATGTCTTCTTTACCTGATAAGGCTTCCATTCGGTCGGGAAATTTAGCCGACCGACCGACCACCGACCCCGCCGACCGACAGCCGACCGAACTGACCGATCGGTCGGCGCGCCGATCGTTTTCGTGCATTTGCGCGTCAACGTGTTTGCATAC